CATGGAGAAAAAAAAAAAATAGATTCTGCGTTCTGTGTTGGCACAAAAAGTATTTGGCATGAACCGCAATGAAAATGACATTTTTTAATGGTGATTGATTTCATAAAAAAAAAAGAAGGAATAAACAGGAAATGCTATAACTCTTCTCACTTAGGCTGAGAGTAGATTAAATGAATGGATACTGAACTTTGACCACCACTGCCTTGTGGATTCATTAATTAAGTATTATTCAGTTAAGAGGTTAAGCCTATTATCCTTTAACCCTTTTAATTGCTACTCTTCATGTTTTGGGTTCTTTTGGATAACTAATATCCTATTATTTTAATATGGCCAATTTATTTTTTGTATCGATTTATTTATTTATTTTAACATAGATATCGTCATATAAGCTCTAACACCGTCTAATTCCCTCAACTTTAAATGAGGTTTAAAAGAAAAATATGTCTAATTTCTAATTACTTTTATTTTATAATTTGTAGCGTATTTCAAACTCGATTCGTCTTGAGAAGTTATTGAAACATGCGTTGTTACCACTCGTTCAGCGTGAAAGAATGAAACGAATTAGCTAACTAACTCATTCTTGTCAATTACTGTCTTAGGCGGTGTAAAAACTTATATAACGTATATTTTTCTGTAAAACTTCGTTTAACCGTCACTGGTTTACCACTTCAGGGTAAATGCACCTTAGATGATATGCTTAAGGAAATTTTGAACTTTTAGGCGTAACAATCGGAATTGTGATAATCTTTTATTTTTCTTGGGTTTTCTTATAGAACTAATTCCCAGCTTGTAAATTAACTATTAAAATGTAAGAAACGTCCACCTAAAGTAAAAAAAAAAAAAAAAGTGGGGGGATAATAAATAGAAAAATCTCGTTGCACCTATAGATGACAGTGTTGGAGTTGGGATGTTCCTATAGTTGACAGAGTATGTGGGCAATGAAGTGACCACACAAAATAATTTGTTAAAACATTATATTCTTATTTATTTTATAATAGATACTAAACAAAATTTACCGTAAACTTATTATATAGCTAAGGTCTATCTTTGATCAAATAAGGCTATTATTTAACTAAATTTTTAAAAAAATGGATAAGTACAAAGAAGTTAGGAACTTTTACCTAAAAAGAATCATGGGAAGACGAATTTTGTCCTATTTTAATATATGTAAAAGTCTTTTACATATCCTGGACGATGCACATCGTATTTATGCCGACCAAAGTGCATTTTTTCTTAAACCTAAGGAAAACAACGTTTTTACTGAAAAGGGAAATAAGAATGTTTTCCAAAGATTAAACGCAGACGAAGACGAAAGGAGTGCCTGGCTGTTTTGTTATTAGCTGGTGCTTCAGGAGTCTTATCTCCAACTTCTATTGTCTTCAAATTTGAAAGAATAACTTCACATACTGCATTCAGCATCCCTGAAACGTGGGGCTTATAGGCGATCAGACAGTGGATGGTTGAATGCATCAATTTTTTATGATTATTTGGCCAATGTTTTTCACCCTTGGCTTATAAGAGAACAAATTCCACAATATGAATCCAGTAGATTCTTTTACAATCATCATATTTTTCTGAAAATAACTAAAAATTGGTTTAGGAAAGTTAATGAATAATGAAAACACTAATAAAGCTAATATTTTTGTTTCTGTTTATAACTGTTCACTACATTTATTGTGTGAATAAACTTAACAAATCCTAAAAACACAAGATATAATTGTTATCGTTTTCCAATCTGCCAAGTAATTACTATTAATTCGTTACTACTAAATAACGAAAACTAAAAGTTTTTTTTTACTTTAATAAATTGTATTTAAGAGTACTCTAAGAATAAATAATACAGGTGATCTGAACAAATACAGAATAAATACCAATGATATTCCTATTTCTTTCTAAAGAGAAACTCATATTCTCTTATTCAAATCTTAATCTGATTTAAAGTTCTACTTCGTTACATAACATTTAATGGATTGAATAATTGCTGTAATTATCTTACTCATTGTATAAGTACTACTAATTCGAATACCTTCAGTATTCATATCTCTTTCTTATGAAATTTCATTGAAAGAGTTGAAACGTTCATGGTTTTTAATGAGGAATCTCTTACTGGATCAATTAATTAAACATTATCTCTTCCAAGTTAATCATTACAGCCAAATTATTAATATTATCAATCCAGCAATAGCCTCTGACTTATTTTCAAGTTTCCATAACTTTCTTTGTATTTCATCTCGATTTTAATTTTTTTTTTTTTTTTTTTTTTTTTAGTTTTCTTTATGTCACGCAATCTATAGATGAACAGTGATGCTCTTATCTTGGTTATATTCCCTGTATTCTCTATAAGATGATTCATATAAATGTTTTCATATTAAAAAGATAAATACATTTTTCAGCTCATAGATAGTTCAGCATAGACATTGTTTGATTAAACTAATTAATTATTATTTGTATATATTAAAAACTATAGATTTAAAAATATACATCGTTACTTTCAGTGCCGGCCTTAGACATTCGGCGCCCTCGTGTAATGACGTCATCTTCATCCAATAAAAAAATCAATTTATTTCTTAAGATGTTTTATATTATGTAATATTTGAATTCAATTCCCTTCTACATTCATCAAATACAGTTCATTGATAATACAGTCTTTATTGACAGGCTAATATTAATTATTTTAATACATTTTATATATTTTTTTAAATTTCTATCAAGTAGTTAGCGCCCCTGAAGATCGGTCGGCCCTTAGCTATTGCACCGGTTGCTCCACCCAAATGCCGGCACTGGTTACTGTTAATGCAAAAAGTTGTATGTAAGAATTGAGTTTTTTTACAAAAGAGTATTAAAACTGGTTATTTATTTATGATTTATTAATATAATTTCATATTTTATTTACCTATTCTATTTTTCATAATAGCAGTTTATATATTGCTGTTGCAGACTAAGAAATAACACCTTTAGCACAAATAGAATTAACATAGACAACTGATACATATGATATGAATAACTTTACTTCCTATTATGAAGTATAAGTAGAAATCGGTGTGAACTAAAATGGAAATAAAAATAATAATTAGGTTAAGGTTTATGTTACCTAGATTTTTAGTTTTGGAGTTCAAATGTTTTTTTTAAAAAAACATTAATTTCTCATTACTATCTTAAGTAATCAGACATCAATTTCAAGGAAAATTAAACTTAACCAATTTCGTAATGATAATTTTCAATTATTCTAAAAATACAACGAACTAAATCCTGTTTCGGGATAAACGGGAACAATAAATTGGGTTACTAACAGACCTAGTTGGCGAAAAGCCTTGTTTAAATGACCAGCCGCCGGCATCAGCTTTTTATTTTTTTCTCTTTAGATAAATGATCTTTTAAAAAGATATCACCCGTTATATTTTTCGATTTCAGTATTCATTTTAAGTTAAAGGAATGCACTATATGTCACTTCACCAGCCCAAATTTACGTGTATATTTTTTATGATGTTCTTTGTCCTCTGTCATGTAGACAAATAACGTTTTTTGGCATTTCAGGAACATGTCATGTAGCATAATTTTGACATGAAAAAAATCGTTTTCTGATGTAATACAATTTTTATGTGTTTGGTTCCAATCTTTCAGTGATTACCTTGATGAGTGAGTAATTTTCTTCAAATAAATCACAAAATTACGACTTGGATCTTTTGCTTTAGCAACCCTAATAGTCTATCAAGAATATCTCATCCGTGATTACAATAAGAGAAAGACAGTCGCCGTTTCCTGCAGTTTAATTATCAAGTATTTCTGATTACGAATATTAATCTAATTTTTCTTTCATAATAAATGCTATGATTTCGGGATAATGATTAGGAAGACGGATTTTTCTTATTGAAAGAATAATGTACAATGGCGTAGCTAAGGTTGGATGTGCAAAAGTTTTTTTGTGCGCCCCTTTCCTTCTTAAAAAATACCAACTTTGTTCCTTTGGGTACATAAACATCTCGCGACATTTTTCAAATTCTCTCTTAAGCACACTTAATAAAGCACCATTATTCAGATAAATCGGTTTATAAAGTACATATTTTTACTTTCACTTACTTATATTTAGTTTATACTTCGAATATTTTTTTGAAAGAAATTTTACATCATATTTTTAGATAAAAATAAAAAATTACCATAATTATTACAAAATCACATTAATTACATTTACTTCATGTTCTTTCACGATGATGTACTTGTAATATAATTATCAAGCTTAAAACATGATATTTTTTAACAAAACCTAGGACTCCACTTGGGCAAACGTCTCACTTTGAATCCCTATTAAAGACAGAAACAACAAAAATCTGTTCATGTCCGGCTGTTCGAACACTTACTTGGCAAACGCTCTAAACTTTCAATTAATTACAAAAGGCTCATTTACATGACTCTTATGGTCATGGTATAATGGCTCCATCAAACCTTCGAATTCCTATCGTATCCAATCTTTACAATCCAAAATCCTTAATGCTCCATATTTTGTCACAAATAAAATAATTCATGAAGACCTTAATGTTCCATACGTTATATATATTTATAGTATATATTGCCATGTGACCGAGCCAGATATTTATCTTTTCATGATAAACTATAATCCCATCCAAACCCATTTGTACCCAACCTTGCTTCTTCCTCGATTCCTAATAATCTTCCTAGGTGTCTGAAAAGGAAATGGTCTTGGGATCTTCTTACTTAGAACTATTTATGGAGAACTACCATTGGGTAGTCAAGTCTGTTCATGTTGTTATTTCTGATTTGTTCAAATTTACTGGTTGTATTTATTTAATACAGTTGTAAATTTGAATAAATACATTTTTTTTATATAATTACATAATTTTCCTAAACACATTGTAATTCGCCTTAATATTTGTGCTTGAAATTTGACATTACATAACATTTTGAGGTTAATAGCTTGTTGTAAAAAAACAAATTTCTAGATTTTATTTATTTATTTTATTTTAATCATTTTTTTGTTTTGACAGATGCCTCTGTGGTTTCTTTTAATATTCTTGTGTGTGATCCCTTTTAACTGCTGTTCAAACATTGCGAAAGAAGAGTGCAAACAAAACTGGAATAATTACTGTCATTTTAAGAATTCAACTATAATTTGCTGTAATATTACATCATATTCTTCATTCAGAGAAAGTCTTTTTCGTTGCCGAAGTAAGGACATTACTGTTAAAAAATATATTTGTTTAATAGGTGTATCATTTATTTATGCTATGAATAATTTTCTTTTCAGGTTCAAAATTTAATGTAACAAGTATTCGCATCCATAATGCAACTGTCGAAAATTTTGATCTACGGCTGGAAGAATGTACAAAGCTCGAGTCATTGTCCATTATAAATGGAAAAATCAGTAAATTTCAGAGTAGATTTAGTAACAATAATCTAACTTCTATGAACTTGTCAGGAAATGGTATTATTGATATTGGCCCAGAAACTTTTAAGAAACTTAGCAGACTGAGGACTCTTGATGTATCCAGAAACAATTTGACTAAGATCCCCAAAATAATACTGGATAAGGAAAAGGAGTTTATCCTCGATATATCACGTAATACATTTATTAATCATTACAATTAATATTTATATTATTTCTAATAACATGTTTAATTTGTTTTTTATAATTAATAAATGTTTTACACAAAAAGTAATTCACTTAATTAGAATTCAAAATGAGATATCACACCAGTGAATCTAACGTAATTATTTTACCAGACCTATACTATTTCATGCTATTTATTCGGAATAAACAGTCTGTATATACTATCAAATAAATGTCATATTGAAGAAAATTGAGGCTAGCTATAAAAATTTTCACAAGAAATTGAGGATGACATTTTGGAAACAAAAATAATTATTTTTGTTATTGATGTCCAATGAAAACATATATATATTGCTTGTACAATTTTCTATATTTAATGTGACAGTGTGTCATTTGATAGAGAAAGATGTTTTGTTTTTTTCATTAATTTATTAAAGATAAGTAGATAAATGCTCTAATTAGTTCGATTAATCTAATTTGAGGATTACATATTGTGTTAATTTTATTACTTTAACACTATTGCAATGGAATATTCTGAGTGATTTCAAGTGACAGGTTAGCATTAAATTGTAGGCTTCAGTGTTTTTAAGCTAAAAATCTATTTCTCTATTAATAATATTAAATTTATTTGAATGTTTCAGTTATAAAATTATTTTATGTAAAAACATTTTAAATCACTATAATATATATTTCAATAAAACTACAAAATTATCTTAATTTGGTGTACCTCCATTATTGTAATTACTTTATTGGCAATAATTCTTCAAAGATAATCTACTTTAATTTCCTTTTATTAGACTAATAAAAACTTCTGTTAAATAACAATGTATATGAAATCTTTTTAAATATAGATTCTATTTTAGGATTATCTTTTTATAATTTTTGTATCTAACAGTAAACTCTGCCTATTATGATCCTTGTGTCCTAATCTGAGAGGCATTCAAAAGGACAATAATAGGAATATTTAATTAAATAAGTGACATTACGTTCATTTAATTTTTTAATACTACTTATTTAGTTTTTATCTAAATTAATAATATTTATGGTAAAAATCTCCTGGTTACCATTCAATGAAACTTTTTATGAATTTCATTGATACTTATTTAAAGAAGTGACTGGATTCATCAAATATCCATATTTTTTTTCTAAATTTATGGTATTTTCTAGATAACAAAATCAAGTGCAAGGATATCTCCAATCTTTTGATCAAATTAAAAAACAACAGTACAACAACAAATTTAACGTTTAAAAACCGTGATTCTACCAGCTGCTTAACTGAAAGGTCCTTCCATTGGTTTAATTCTACTGATGTCATGCTTCTATCTCAAATAGAAGAACAAACAATGGTATAATATTTTATATCTTCAATTTGAATCATTTTATAAAAATATACTTTTGTTTTCTTCTTATTTCAATAGTTAGATGAAGCTTGTCCAAGTGGAATGAATTCCAGTTGTACCTGCAGGGCATATTGGACTGACTATCTTTCAAGTAAACCAGCTGCTAAGTTCAGTGTCAACTGTTCAAACTTGCAATTAACTGAACTTCCACCACTTCCTGCGAATATAATATATTTGGATGTATCCAATAATCAAGTAAGACAATTTATTTCCATATATTTTTTCCCCTAATTTTGTCAAATCATATTTTAGTGGAAAATTCTCTTAATATGATAAAGTATTATATTTGAATAGTTTTACAAAGAAAGGGACTCAATCCATTAATTGGTAAAGTTGAGTTAGTACCATTACACATGTTTCTGAAAAAAAAACACGATATTCATGAATATGATTGAATTTTATTGAATTAAAACTTTCATTTTTAGAATAAATTTTATTGCAGTAATAAAAAATATAAAATTGGACAATATTAAGATGGTTCTATCAAAACCATCTAAATGCTGGTTCCATGAAGAATGGGTTCAAGTAATTCGTATAAATTATTGATAAGTTATTAATCTGTAAACTTGCTTATTAACCATGCAAACATTGAAATGAAATGAAAATTTTCTTTATTATTCTGGGACAAAGTCCCTCAAGAATAAAATTAACAGTACTCTACATATTGGCTAGGACAGTGTGGCTGGACTCATTTATATAAATACAAAATAAGGAGGAAAATAGCATAACTGAAAATAATTTTTTTACAGCAATTAAAACAACAAAGCAGCATTAAAATAAATTTTTTTAAATAAGAAATAAAGCCAAATGAAATTTGATAATTATAATAATAAGTATGTCGAAAATAGCACTAAAATGAACTATGGTAAACATTTGATGACCGGAAAAACTGAATTTAGTAAAGGATAATACTAATTAGACTGAGTGAGCGAAAGGTTGTCGAAGAGAAAATCTTTAAACGAGAAAACCGTTGAAGCATGGCGGATGGTAGGTGGGATAGAGTTTCTCGAAGTAGGCAGCTCGGGTTAGGAAGAATTTGTCAAACACAGTAGTTAGATGAGGAGAAGTGTAGATGTCAGAAGGACGGGATCGGCTGGAACAGGATTTGATGGATGATTTAAATTGCAGGCTCTGAAGTATGTAGGATAGGCACAGAGTTCTGATTACCTGATATATCAGGAATCCTATAGGATGGACACAAGGAAATACTGACAACTGTGAGATGAATAGAGCCACTTTAGCTCAACAGAATAGAATATAAATATCAACTTTATTCTGGAACAATGTCCCTTAAGAATAACAATATTGTTCATACAAATTAGCATTACATCTGGCCAAAAGATCTAATTCATAAAAGAATAACTGAAACATAAGCAATAAAACAGGTATATACATAGCTTAAAGATATCTTAATGAAAGCAGGTGAGCAATAGGATCACAATATTGTAATATCGCTGCTTAAAAAATATAAGTAAATAAATAAGTAGGAAAAGAACATTAAATCAATTTTATGAGAAAACCATTGTGGCGACAAAAATAAAAAAAAGTAAATAAAGAAAATAAATTATTTATATCTGTTACTTAAGAACTTTGAATGAATACTCACAATGGTAATGTAAACAATTAATTAGTATTGTAAACTATATACAAAAAGGAAGATTGAGAGAGAAAGAAATATACATATATACATAGTGGGGGATGTAGAAATTAAATACATGTCAAATATGTAAAATCTTGTAAATGGAAAAAAAATAATAATAAAAAACAAACAATTTCTTGTTTTTTCTTTCTTCATCACAATGCTATGTCAAAAGTGATAATGAATCTTTTCCTATTCATAAAAAATAAAAATAATGTAAAAAAAATCACCAGAGTGCACTGTACATCAGTCTGCTGTCATCAAAGTGAGGGAGCACAAGGGATGAAACCAGGAGTTGTCGAGTTTTACGTGGAAGAAGGTAACATAGGTTTGATTGTTTGAAGATTGATATAGCCCGGCAGGAAATTCGGGAGCCATGTTCTTTCCATGAGAGGGTTTGGTCAAAAGTGAGGTTTTAACTGAGGTTTGGAATGAGATAGGAGTGTTGTTCAAGGTAAAGTAAGACTGTGCTTGGAAGGATTCAAGGAATGAAGAGGAACCAATCATGATGGCTTTGGTCTTCTCGGAATTCAGGGTAAGCTTATTGCAAGAGGTCCAAGCGCTTATTCCATTGAAGCTTTCCTGTAGTTTCATGATTGCATTAAAGGAATCAGCAGGATCAAAGGAGAGACCGATTTGATCATCAGCGTACATATGATACTGGGAATGCTAGATGGAGAGTGGGAGGTCATTAAGGAAGATGGAGAAAAGGGAAGGCGGCAAGGAAGAAATATAATACAATAGAGAATATGGAAATTTGAAAATTCAGAGTACAGATTGTTATCTGCGTTTCCTATCCTTCTACGGAATGAATCTCTTTTTCTTTCACTTACCTATTTATATAATATATAATTAGGAAAAGTATTGCGGCTTTGAATTTTTTGAATCTCAGTTTTCAACAGAAATACACTTTTTAAGATCCCCTGAGTCCAAATAACCAAGTCCTACAAAATGGTTTGTGTGGGACTGAACAATCTAAAAACGAAAAGCCGACCGAAACTGATACTACGTATTTAAGGTTTTTATATGCCTGGGATGTTACAGCAACTTTTTATTCAAAATCAGCTAACCAGAAGTGGGACTTTATATTATTGATTTTACATATTTTTACAATTTCCTCGGAAATGGCTTTAACGATTTTGATTATAATCATCAGATCAATAATATAAAAGATTTTTAGTTTAAGATAGGTCTTATCCTCATTGGTGTTCTCTAACAGATCTTAAATACCAAATTTTCAAAATTTCTTCATCTAAAGTACCTTTCATTTTATTGATTTAAAGTAATTAACCATTTCAAATTGTAACAACTAATATAAAACAGATACATAGAAATTATGAACATATTCGATAAATTACTAACCTCCACTTAAACTGCTCATTTCTGTACACAGCTATTTTTATTCTTAAATAAAATTAGTTTATTTTACACCTAATTTTCATGCTAAATGTTAAAGCTATACATCTACTAATATTAACTTTTTTTTTGTTTTTATAACTATTTTGGATAAAGCTCAGAATTTTGACTAAAAGTCCACTTTTATTTATTTTTTTTTTTATGGGGTTGAGATTTTAAACAAAATCCTATTTTGCTAGGATTCACTTTTTTGACAGGATTAAATTTATTTATTTATCTAATAGCAAGAAATAATTGTTAATTCATTCATCTCATTCCTTTAATCTATATTTTCTTTAATAATGTATTTTGTACACGGCCACAATATTTTGTATGGTAATTAATTATTTGAAATAAGTATGATATTTTTTCTGTAGTTTTTATTTCCCTACATACACGTAGAAAAACACATTTTTTTTATTCAAGATGGGGTGGTAAGTGAAAGTTGTGTGATGTGCGCCTCGCACCAGATTTTTTTTTATGAAGCTATTCATTTCATTACTAATTTTCAAAAAATGTTAAATGATTAAACTAATACTTTCATTCCTACCTCTACTATGATGTACAAATATGTGTAAATATTTCTTCTGTGTCATCCCATGCTTTCTCCCTCTCATATTAACATGCTTTTTGTTATAATAAATTATATTTGTTTTCATTAGATTTCTTTTTATTCAACAATTATTTGTTAATGCCTTAATTAATTTATCACCACATAAAATATAAAAAATAAAGTTTTATCATTTACTCAATGAGTAATCGGAACAATAGATAAAGATTGAAATATCAGCTAGTTATTCCAAAATAATATGGATTTATTTTAGATCAGAAGTCAGTTATGCTCCAAATTGAATTGAACATAAAATCATTCCTTATATACATCATTATAAAAATGACCAACTGGCTATCCAAATATTTTATATCAATGTCACCTTTACATTCTATCCAAATCTATACAATAACAAGAAGTTAATGCATAGTTACATTAATAATACATGTACAGATATCAAGACTTTAATAATAGCATACATAAAATACATTCCTTGTACTCTCCTCCTGTGATACGTCATTAATTATTAACAGCTCTGTATCTTCCTTATCTCGAAGGACCCAATATTTGTGCAATATATAATTACATTTCACTATGTAATTTTATTGAATGTATTCATAAATAAAATCTATCATAATGTTCATTACATACTTTTGATATAAAATATTTGATAATATTTTCATTCATACTTTGTGTTTCAGATTAAATCATTAGAGCTATTGTCAACAAACAAGAATTATTCTGAAGTCAGAGAATTTATAGCTGATAATAACAAAATTGAGTCTATTGCTATCTTGGAAGGATCTCAATTTATAGACAACTTTAATGTTTTAAGTCTGCGTAACAACCAAATCAAATCAGTAAGTATTTAGATTGTGAGGATTGAGGAGCATCTTTAAATATACAGATTGTATCAGGACCAGCAGATAACTAGGACATGAGATGACTCCACATCTCATTTGCAACAAAAAGGTACATGTAGGGCATGGTTTGGTTCCAAACAGAAAAGTAGTAAAAAAAAAAGTCAAGTTTTTCGTTGAATATGAAGTGATAACTAAAAACTTTTTAATTTATATTATTATTAATTGCAGCATTATAAAAAATAGACAACATTTTTTCAAATGCAAATAGAATTTGTATCTGTTAAAATCATTTTAAGAAATCTTTTAAACAAATAAGCAATGGTCAGTACGGTCAAATAATTATAATAAATTATTATGAACCATTTATTTATTTTTTTCTGTAACCTGGTAAATATTGTGATAAATTAAGTACTAAAATACACTCTTTATTTATTAAAACATTAAACATAACTTAAAGTTATAAAGCAACAGTTCTTTTTACTCTTATATCTCAATATGAATTGATTGATCCTTATGGCATTAGGTGACCTACTTAATGTTTCTAATTTTTATTCCTGCTGCAATTGATAATTACCTAAATTAAACCATTTTTTAATTATTGATTCCTATTCAATCAAAATCGTGACTTTCTTCAAAAAACACAAAACTTGAATTTATCACTTTTTTGTGTGGAACTGGACCTTGGTTGATCTGAAATTTTGTGTTGCAAATGAAATATGGAATCTCCTCCTTCCTTGCCTATGGTTCATTAATCCTGATCCTTTTTTTCTTTATATATAATTTTTTAATGATGTATGATTTTTAAAACATAAAATTTTATTTTCTCTTACAGATTCCAACTTACATCCTATCCAATGCATTTGATAGAAATAATTTTCACCAAAGGATTGTGAAATTTGGAGAAAATAGATTAAATTGTGATTGCGGTACAGCTTGGACTAAAGTATAATGCTATGATTTTGTTAAAATAATTGTATTTTCATTTTTGATTCTGTTTTAAGCTGTTAATTTTTTTTTTTTTTCATCTTTATCTCAAAAACATTAAAATACTTTTTCAGAATGGATCACAAGATTTTTAACAATCATGCCACTTTAGAAGTTAAGGTTACAGAAGTAGGATCACTGATTTGAATGAAACTTTTTTTGTTGATACTAGGTCGAAAAATATGAGACCTGTGTCCGAGGGTTCTTGCTGATACCCTTTAGGAGCCAACATAAACAATTTTTATAAAATTTTATTATGTTTTTATATTTCTATTTCCTGACTTTACCTTTTTGCGTACAATAAGAAAATGATATTGCTAATTGTATTAAAAGAATTTTAATGTATAATAAATTATAAAAACCCATTGACGCTTCTAGTAAAGTAGGCCACGTAAATTTTTTCATCAAAAAACGATTCAGATTCAATTTTAACATCTACTAAAACTCTTAAATACGAGTTTTTTTAGGAATGAAAAAATAAAAAATTTTGGTGGGAGGATTTTTTTTTTTTTTATGCTTACAAAAATATTCACAACTCCTCAGGATTTTCTTTTAAGTCAACGTTACTACAACCGATGAAAAGCTAAATAAATTATTGTTCCTCAAAACCATAACATTAAATTTTAGATATTACCTCTTTATAAGGAATAAATAAAGAAAAACTCCCAAAAGTTTTTATTTTTTATCTCTAAGTCTAATTTATTTGCGGGCTTCTTGGTTTGTGCCATTTTATGTATATTGCAGGACACTAAATTCATGCTTATTTTAATTTTGTATAGATAAGTAAAGACGTGTCGAAGTAATGACAAATTTTGTGATTTTCAGGAATAAATCAAAGGATCCGGTTGCGGAAAATTTTGAACAAAAAATTTGTATTTGTCAGTTGGTATGAAAATTTGTATTAAAGGGGTTTTCAAGGTGTAAAATTCAAATCTCAACTTCGTTTCTACATAAAAAAAATATTTCAACACACTTTACTCTTAATCTATACTTGCTTTATTCTTATTTTCGGATCAAATCTCGACAAAATACCAGATTATGTTTATGTAATCTTACTTTCGATACCTGTCTGGTTTAGAAAAAAATATATTTGGCATACAGCTATAGTATGAGTAGAATATTGAAAAAATTAGTACTGGCCTCAGACATGAGTCTAATATTTTTTGATTTAGTACCACCAAAAAAAGTTTCATTAAAATTAATGATCCCTTGTCCATAAACTTGGCTTGTGAGTAGGTGAAAGTAACTAACAAAAAGCCAGATGAAGGATAAAATTTAGCTTTATTGTTGTATACATGTTACTGTTAAATAATAGCATTAATTTTATATTAGTATAATCCTTTATAATCATTCATTTATTATTGGTGCAACAAACACATGTAGTGGTTCTTGGCCTGCTCAATTTTCTTTGCCCAGTCATCCCTGTTGGCTGTGCACCTGATGGATGTGACATTTTTTCTCAAATCTTCTTTTACGTTATCTATCCATCTTGTCTTGGGTCTTCCCTTAGATCTAATTCCTTCTGATTTCCCATGATAAAGCTTTCTTGCTGTTCTCACTTCATCCATTTTCAGGACATGTCCTAACCATTTCATTCGCTGAACTTGAGCGAATTGGGAGATAGACAGATCACCATACATTGAGTATACCTCCTTGCTTGTTCTCAAGCAGGGAACTCCTTCCTCTAGTTGGGTTCTATTCTCTTTCTTAAGATTTTCCTTTCAAACCGATCTAGTTGTTCTGAAGATGCCTTCATTGAAATATGTTGCAACTGGCTGAGTAATCATTTTGTGTACCCTAAACTTGGTTGTACGACTCAACAATCTACTTCTCAGAAGCCTAGCTAGAGAAAATTACAATCTGTTGGCAGCCATTATTCTAGCTCTTATCTCCTCTTCTTCATTATTGCTATCAACAATTTTGGACTCGAGGTAGGTGAAACTTGATACAGCTTAAAAATTTGGATTCCCATGACAGTGCTGTGGTGGATGGGCGAGCTTTTTCTTCCTTAAAATAAAGACCTTGGTTTTGCTTTTGTTGACGCTCAGTCCCATTTTCCCTGCCTTACCCTCCAATCTATCCAGAATGCACTCTTCATTGCTTGAAATGATCGTCCTACGATGACCACATTGTCTGCATACGCGAACAGTTGAGTTATTCTGTGGAATATTGTTCCTCCATTATTCAATCTTGTCCTGCTCATGATGGTCTTTATAATCATTAAAGGCATCAAAATATTAAATTTTAGCTGACAGAATGAATTATTCAAAACAAGTATTTCGTCTTCTTAAATACTTATGCTACACTTTCATAAGAGATAAAATTTGAAATGTATATAAATAATCAAAATTGTTGTCCATCCTCTTATTATTCATATTAATTATACTTGAAGGGAGAATTTTTTTTCTTTAATCAAAATATCAATTTATTTGATTTCTAGATGTGGCTGTTAAATAATAAGAACTATATTCAAGACTACGATGAAGTCCAGTGTGACAGGGATTTTCAAAGGGTACAAGCATTTTTTTTATTTATTGAAATGTCAGTCATATTTTTATTCTGAATTTTAACTTACTTATTTGTGTCTACTTGTTCTAGGTCATAGACATTGATCCGAGTAAAATTTGTATTCATGAAAAAGATTTGACTGACTACATCTACTACATCATTGCTGGAGAAATTCTTCTGTTGCTCCTGTTAATTAGTAAAGTAACATACGACTATTGGGTCTTCAAGTCTTCCGGCTACCTTCCCTGGCCGGCTTCGAAGATGCCTAAATTACCTTGTGATTGGTGTTTCGAAACATGAAATCTGGGATCATCCAGATCTTGATGAACAGAAAAAAATATTATCTCATAAACAATGGGTTGGTCAAACTGTGCTGTGATAAAGAAAACAATGTTTTAGTTTATTTTATTAATATGTACCTGCTCGTTTGATTTATAATTGAATTATAATATGCTAAACAGTGGTTTGTGTCTTTTTGTTATTTTTTCTATTTTTGTTAATAATTTTATCATGACAGGAAATATAATTTAAAATATTCAAATGGTACTTTTGTACTTTGATTAAGCAACAGTCACATTTCAAAGCTGAAATTGATTCAAACCTGATCAGCAGTACCTCCTCCAAGTCACTTAATCCTGACTAATCAATACCACTCCTATTCCTAATATTGGAAAAGTCCAAATTACAAATGGAATTATATACAGAGTTAAGTTCTATTTAAAAACAAGTAATAGCAAAGGTTATAAATTATCCTAATCTTCTGTGTATCTTATTCAAAGTTCAAACACAGGCTGAAAAAAATAAAATAGGTGATGACGTAATCAAAAGAAAGAATTGAACAATTTTCAGGGAAGTCAAAGGATTCCAGGAAACAATTACGCATAGAACTATCATTTAAAAATTCAAATAACCAAAGTTTGGAATCTTTAGATCCCAACTACAAAAGCAAGGAATAAAAATTAAAATAATAATTGTGGATTGACGATTGACTGTACTGAATAATTGAAGAGAAGAATGATTGGGGCGATCAGTCAAAAAAAAAAAGTAAAAATAAATAAGTATATTTATTTTTTATTTTTGCCGACATTTCGGCCCAAAGTTCAGGCCTTCATCAGGGCTGGTCAAACGAGAGGTTTCCGCAAGACCAATACATAATAATAATAGGTCTTGGGGAAACCTCTTGTTTGACCATCCCTAATGATGACCTGAACTTTGAGCTGAAATGTTGGCAAAAATAAAAAATAAATATATCTATTTATTTTTACTGATAACCACAACCATTCTTCTCTTCTAAAGTAATAATTATAACCATAACATTTGCTTAATTAACTAACAGCTTACACTTTATTTTATTATCATAATGGTAGATTATTATAATATTGTTTGAATTTCAAAGGCATTGACCATGGTGGGGTTGGAATATTTGCGACTGTTGTCGTTTTTGTGAAAGTTCTGGCCAATGTTGACCTTCCTTGAGTGTTTTTTTTTTTCAAACATCAAAATGTTATACTCTTTCCATTGCCCAATATTTACAGCCATCCACACATCTGATAAACCGATTGCTCAATGGATTACTTACTTTTATCTGAAATAGTGATTTTAATTTTGAAGTTACTTTAAAGTTGATATTCAATTCATCAATGATTCATCACTTGAAGACTTTTGATTGTTAATTGGATTAATTGTTTGTAGCTCATGCTTTTTTTCTGGATTATTTAGGCCAAAACTTTTGTTTTAATTTTTAAATACTGATGCCATTCTATCAACTTCTGTAATCCTTTCAACTCGTTCTTTCCATCTAACATTCTCAGCTGTATACTTTCCTCCTGGTAATTTTCTCTTTTATAGCCTTTTTGATTCCTTATTCCAATCCCTCGGACCACACGTGCTGGAGGAGACTACAATGTTAAACATCAACTATGGGGTTGTCGAACATGGAACTCCTGTGGTAATATTCTTTCATGTGTCTCAACTTCCAACAGCTATTCTATCCTCTCGCTCATCCTACTTATTGGCCAACACCCCTCAAAAAACATCCCGATATACTGGATATATTTATCACCTCTCAGATTTTGTCTTCCCAAACCATAATCAAATCCCTAGATGATCTTTCTTCAGATCATAGTCCAGTTCTGCTTCTTCTACATTCAAACAAATCCTGACATCCTACATTGATTACAGAACGAGTTAACTGAAACAAATTTAGTGATGATCTGGAAAATAGATTAGACTTAAAAATTCTGCTAAAGACAGAACAAGATTATCGATGGTGCCATAGACAAACTTCCAGCATCAAAAGCTGACATCCCAACACTATCATCACCACATATGCAAATGACACATTTATCCTATCAGTTAATAATGATCCATCAATTGCATCCCAAACTCTTCAATCACATATAACAAACCTTAAAGAGTGGTGTCAAAACTGGAGAATTAAAATAAATTTTAATAAATCTCATCGATTATCTTTACTCTTTGTCGTCAACCTATGACTTCCTGTCTTAACAATTCTCCACTTCTTCCTGTTTAACCAATCCGATACCTAGAACTCCATCTGGAAAAAAGACTCACTTGGAATCCTCGTACAAGACTGAAATGACAAGAAACTGCTCGACTTTTTCAACTACTCCAGCACATACTAGACAAACACTCTAAAGAAAAAAATTCTGTAGTTTTAATTTGGTTAGGAAGTTTCAATTTTCAATAGGTCAATAATGTGATTATAACCCACTTCAATTTTTCTTCATTGAAATGCTTTTATGTTAACCTCTCAAGGAATCTTTAGATTTGTAAATAGTATTAAATTGAAAAATTGTCCAATTTATTTCAATCAAAGTTTATTGAATACAATGGAGAGAATAGAACAAAATTTAGAAATAAAGATGTTAATTTTCAGCACCTAAATTAATGACATTTTAGGAAGAGAAAACTTGTATTAATAAAATAAAAATATCTTACACAATAATGTTATTTGATACAATAGAGAGGAGGTTCTATTCCATAGAAGAGGAAATAGGACTATATTTCTACTTAAAAAAAAAAGGTTAATATTTTCATCCTAGCCTTTTAACTTAAGCCAACAATTCATCATGAGCACCTCTATATTCCTGCTAGAAAAAGTGAGATACGTGTGAAAGACATTATATATTATTCTATATTTGAATTGTGTTTCATTCGATATGTTTTAATTCATTAGTTTATTATTAGGATAAAATGAAATTATCGTACACACATAGTAATTTTTTATGATTGGAAACTTGTATGCAAAATAACCGCATAAATTTAAAATACAATAGAATTAAAATGATAAAGAATGTACTTTAAAATTGAGAGTGAATTTTTAATGTTGATTAAAAAAAGACCAAATTTGGGCTAAAAACAGTGTGTTTGGGAATCAGGGGTGCCATCTCCCTCAAGGCCAATAGCACATGAATTTCTCCCCTCACCCTCCCCTCTTTTTATAAATATTCTGTATGTCATAAAATTTCTGTGTGTGGAATAAAAAGTCTCGTTTAAAAAAATATATTGTAAAATCATCAAAAATTGTGCTTAGTTTACCTCATAATAGTAGGTAATGAAAAAGTTGCTGTCACATCAGAACCATACAGGAACCTTAAATATGCAATTTAAGTTTCGTAGGACTATTCGTTTTTGAGCTAGGCTTTCCCTCATTCCACACACAGGCATACCACTTTTCGGGACTTTGTCATTTCGACTTAGGGGACCTCAAAACATGTATTTCCGTTGAAAACTGAGATTCGAAAATTTTCACGATTGCAATACTTTCTCTTACTATATATTCCATATATAGGCAAGTGAAAGTAAAAAACAAGAGAGAAAGAAAGAAATGTAACATGTATGTATGTGTATTATATATATTTATGAAACAAAAAGAGAAAAAGAAATAAACAAAATAGTTTCTGTGGGTACTGGATGAGTTCTGTTAATAGTAACATTGCACGTAATATTGCGTGCATTTCGTGATCAATCGGATTGGGAAAGGAATTGGTGCTTAAAGAAGAGATATTTGAAAGAGGATACAGATTGTGCGTGTCAAATACCAGAAGGGATACAATTCCAGGGGGAGATGGCTTGAATTACAAAAGATTTGTGGGTCAAACGCAGCAGTTCCGTGAACAGGAGTTACTATCTTATCTTCCACCCTACAAAAGTTAGAGCAATTGTAATTTAATGTTTAATTTCTGAAAATTTTACACATAAAGACTTAACTTTCGTATTTTTTATTATTGAACTGCTCTAAATCTTTATACAAGTCAATATTTACGTATTTATAAATATATTATATACGTATATAAATAATATGTATTGTACTTACAAGTAGCACTTAAATAAGGAAATATCTGAAGGGGTTATAGCAGAGTTACAAAAAAGTTTTTATAAATAATCGGCCGATTTTCAGCAGGAAAGTAGGAAATTAAGATTTTGTGTTTTTGTAGTAAGTCATGTTTTTTTGTTGAATAGGAGGCGGTTCCTGAAAAACTATTTTATTTAACTAATTAACAACTGCTTCACTGTAAACTAGAAAAAATACACTTTAAACAAAAATAGAGTTTGTCAATGATAAAACCATTTAAAGAGGACTTCAAATAAGTTGTTTATTTATTTAAAAATCAAAAATTATTCGCGATTTTTTTTTTTTATCGTGCTCCAACTATACTACATACACCCCACTTTAACAAAATATCCCTCGTTTGATAAGCTTTAAATCGACATGCAATTAAGTTGAAGTTTATTAGGGAAAAAACTTGAGATTTACCTAAAAAAAAAAAATAATAAAAAATGATGTGATTGATATTTAGTCAGCTAAAAGTACCCGTGTTTTCAGTAATAATCACTGCAATAAATTATTGCACATCTTTAATTTTTTTTTTTCCGATGTCATGGGATCTACAATTATAAATATGGATGCATAAACACACTTTCCATTTCTAAAAAAAAATGTTACAATTAAGGATTTTTCGATTATTCATTAATCTCATAACTCATAATTTACTCATTAAATTATAATTGCTCAAACTTTTGAAGGGTTAAAGATGAGCTAGTAAAACTATATATATTTCTAACGAAAATGTAATTATCAACAACATTCTTCCTCATAGCCTTTTCGTAGAATCAATACGGAAAGAATTATATTGAAAAACAAAAATAAAAACGTGTGGCAAAAATTCATTTTTTCAAAATCAGCAATTATTGAGCACTGAGGCTTCAGTCCGAAAGCTTTGTTTTCATAAAAATAACGATAATTACTTTGGGAAAAAAAAGAAAGAAACTAACTATCTATATGAAATGGTGTTTAAGTGATTCCTATAGTCCTTTTAATTGTAATTACACGAACAATAATACCTTAAGAGATAATTTTTTTCCATAAAACATGGTTATATGCCCTCCCCCATTTTTGGGTGAGGGCTTCAACCCCAAAGCCCCTCCCCCCCCCCGTAGATCCGCTCGTGCTTCCTCATATCACCTCTTAGCCCTCCTAGGAGTGGGTACTTTTAGTACGTTTACCTCTTAACTAGTCCGAAAAAAG